GAGCTCGGGGGGGGGCGTGTGTATCGAATTGGGTTTAACCAATCCCAATGGTTGGTTTTAGCAATCGGTTTGGGACACATTCGCAGACAATCAAAACAGTACATAAATCGCCCCCCCCGGGAGAACCGAACGCGAACGGCCCATCGTGTTTATGGAAAAGATTACTGTACAGCAACAGAAGACATCGCAAAAAGAGGAGCAAGAGGTTTCCGCTCCGAAACCAAAGTGCAATAAAAACAAGACCATCCACACACACCCAATCACCTGCACCCTCATACCTGGAAGGCCATGTTATGAATGGTCAGTACGGCACGAGTACGGGAGAGTCCTGACGCCCGGTAGGTTTCCTTGAGCAGCGGCCCCTGGGGTGTCGGTGGTGTCGGGGGAGGTCGAGTGTAGAGGGTAGGGGGTGGTAGGGGGTGAGTCAGGGAGAGAGCGAGCGCTGGCACAATTGGACACGGCCGAGCCTGACATCCAAATAGCTCCGAGACCACGTCCTAATGTCGTACTTAGGGTTTTGACAGCTCACGTCCCTAAGAGCTCTCTTCCCCGCCCCCGAGCTGCTGCAAGGGCTTCAACCTTTCCGCGCCCTCCACCTCCCCCGCCCGTCTCTCACCACCGCTGCCGCCTGCCAGTCATGGCAGTGGATCACGTCCGGGGCCTCATGCTGCCGCTGGGCCAGGAACTCCAGCGCCGCCCGACTGAAGAAACAGAACCGAGCCGCGTCGTCCGGCTCACCGTAAAACTTGCCACGCCAAAAATACCTTTGAAGAGTGGCGGGAGAGGGAGGTGGGGAGGGAGAGGGAGGTGGGGAGGGAGAGGGAGGTGGGGAGAGGGAGGGAGGTGGGGAGGGAGAGGGAGGTGGGGAGAGGGAGGGAGGTGGGGAGGGAGAGGGAGGTGGGGAGGGAGAGGGAGGTGGGGAGGGAGAGGGAGGTGGGGAGAGGAAGGGAGGTGGGGAGAGGGAGGGAGGTGGGGAGGGAGAGGGAGGTGGGGAGAGGGAGGGAGGTGGGGAGGGAGAGGGAGGTGGGGAGAGGGCGGGAGGGAGATGGTCAACGGGTGTGCAGGTCTGTGTGAGGGTTGGGGTTGGGGGTTTACGTGCGCTCTCTCTCCCTTGTGTGTATGTACGTACGTATGTGTGTATGTGTGGTAGGGTATCCCGATGATGATGATGATGATGACGAAGGTCAATCCCGTTTCCCCTACAGTACATTACATTACACAGCATTACCCGGGGGGCTGCATGTGTCAGTCGTACCTCTACACAACTCTCTTGTCACGCCGTACACCGCCCCCCTCGCAGGTAGGGAACGAAGCCGGCTAGGATGACCCACATCATCATGACAATCATCACTGATACAGCAATACTTGCTAGCTGAAAGAGCTCTTCTGAAAACCCTAATCCCCCCCACCTTCCAGGGTTTCTGTCCATCCTTCCTCTCCCCCCCCTCACACACCCCGGAAACCAATCCGCAAACTACTTCACCGCTTTCCCCCCAAATAACGCAATACAATAAAATAATACAATACAATACACGGCCACACACGCACACGCGGGGCTTTTCCCGGTAGTAGATACATACATAGATATATACATACGTACATACATACATACACACATACACCCGGCCCCACACTCGCCTCACCTCTCCGGGCAGTGCGGCTCCACGAAGTACACGGGCAGCCCCTCCACACACCCGCTCCACACCACCGCCTTCACCACCCGACCCGGCTCGGGCCCCCAGGGGACAGCCAGCTCGCACATCTGGCGCAGCTCATGAACATCACCTAGAGGGGGGGGCCCCCGGCCGCGGGGTGGGGGGTGGGTGGGTGGGTGGGGCTCCTCAGAATATAAGAAAGGGTTACAAGGAACAGATACGGAACAGATGCACGCGCACGCATGCCCGCACCATTCTAGTCCACTGCGGCTCAGCGCTCCTTCCCCCCTTTTCCCTTTCACCTTCCCGTCCCAAAGCCGGGACTAAGTCCACAAGATACAAAAACCAATGCACGCACATACACCCTAACAATACAATTACAAATACATTACAATACACCCCAACACACATACAAAGCGCGTGCAAGATCCGGATCTTCTTACCGTACTGGATGCAGTCGTACTTTGGCAGTATCACCTCCGTCAGCAGTCCTGACATCTGGTGGGCCTTAGCCAGCGAGGAGACCACGTCGGCCAGTCCACCCACCTACGGTTGGGGGGGGCCGGGGAGGGGAGGGAAAGGGGGGGGAAAGACGAGCCACGGGCGAGTGAAGGGAGTGGAGAGAAGGGGGAGGGAGGAAAGACGAAGGGGGAGGGAGGAGGGGATGTGTGCCGCATGTTTGGTGTGTCCAAATCCCTACCGGCTACGATGCCCAACCACCAAGCAGCTGCCGTAAGCTCCGGAACCCTTTTTTGAGAATTAAACGTTTTCAGTGAAGTTCATGATCAGGTGTGTCCGTGTCCGTGTGTATGCTGCATACCTCCAAATCGCCTCCCCTCCCCCCTTCATCCTCACTTCGTCATCCCGAGGTCGCCGTCTTCACGGACGCCTTTCGGTCAGTTCTACGTCTGGTACACTCTTGCCCTGGCAGCACCTTCACTCGTTCACGTGGTTCGTCTTTTCCTCCCTCCGGAACCAACTAACCAACCAACCGACCAATCCCCCCCCGCCACCCTAGGACGTACCTTGGCAATAGGCGCTAACTCGCTCGCGACATGTACGACATTTAACCCGGGTGGTCGCAGCCACGCGCAGCGCCCCGCCAGCGCGCCCGCCACCGATTTGTCGTCCAAATGCCGTACAGACTGCATGTACGTGCATGCGTGCAAAGCAAAAGGCATTCCCGAGCTGAGGAATTCATTCGTACAACCTTCCGTACAAGACCGTTCATATGACATGCAAACACAAATGCTATCTCTACGTGATGTCGATAATGGCGAACACACACGCCCAGAGCAACCCCGAGAACATCAAGACGACCTGACTGCCCCATGACGGCCCCAGTACGAGTGAAGTGACAAAAGGGATATGGACAGCCGAATGATGTTGCTGCCGGGCTATTGTCGTACATATCAGGCGTTTCACTACATTGTTGCATGTTGAACATGCCACAGCGCGGGGAGAGAAATTACATTATTGACGGATTGAACAAACCGTCACCCCTAACCAACCGCCAGCTGCAGGCCGCAGGCAACTAGTCAACCACCCGCAACTACCAACCCACCAAATCCCCACCCGGCAACCGTCCATTTCCTCCCCGGCCCCCCCACCCACCCCACCCACCCACACCGATCACCACCCAAAACACACACACACGCGTACCCTCACGCACCTGGAAAGCTTTCACCGTACTAAGGTCATGTTGCCACGCCAGCATTCGCAGTACGGAACCCTGCTCGGGTGTCAGCAGTCGTGACGCCACCAGCGCCTCCAACCGCAACAACAAACTGCTGGTCTGCAGGTGGTCGGAATGTGCGTGTGCGTGCGTTTCAGTGATCTAAGCAACTGGGGCAGCAGGGTAGAACCTGATGAGGATGGCAACCATACGAGTATGTATATATGTATGTATGTGCATGGTAGCGGGGCACAAGGATGCTGAGGAGTGGGGGATGGAACGGGGTGGGGAGGGGGAAAGTAATCCACCGCAGCTATCAGAACCCTAGGGTGAGGAAATGGCCCACGACACCGCCTGCTCGCACACACACACACACACATACACACACAGGCCCGAGAAACAATTAACCCTAACCCCCTTAACAGTAATACCGGTAATACGCGGGACATGAGGGGGCCCCCTCCTCCCCCAGCTCACCAGCGCCCTCGTCGCTGCCGAGTTGGAGTCCAGTGCGGGCACCAGCTTCTCCCCCCCTGGAGCCAGCTCCACCGCCACAACCCAGTTGGAGCCGCCGTTGTTGTCCCAACGCTCCTCCCCCTCACCCGGCCAGGGGTGGTTGTGGGGGTGGCCTCCCAGCCCCCCAACTCGGCCCTTGAACACCATTTGAACTTCCAGATGCCAGGGGGCTGATAGGCGCCCGACGGGGACCTGATAGGTGCCCTGCCAAACCTGGAGGGTGAAAGGGGGGGGGAGGTGGGGGGAAGTAAGGATGTGTGTGTGTCCTATGTTACTTGACGCAGGATGCGCGGGCGGGAAAGGAAAGTGTGCAGCAAGGGAGGATGACGAGTGCAGTGCGGGGGGGGGGTAAAATGTGAGACGGATGTGGGAGATCGGAAAACACACACACACGCATCCACACACACGCATCCACACGCGCGCACCCACACACACACACACACACGCGTGCAATTTGCCTTCCTTACCGCGGCGGCTAAGTTCTTTAAAACACACGCTAACAATTTCATTAATTTAATCTTGCCGGAGTTTCGGAGTGTGTGTTAGTAATAGAGATGCACGCGTTCCTCGGCCTTACCTCTTCATGGCTGTTGCCGTCGGGCCCGATGTTCGACAGGCGCACGTCCCGGGTATCCCGCCAACCGCTGTGACCGATGTGGGCCCACACGCAGGAGGCGCCCTCCAGAGGCCCACCTCGACTGCGGTACAGCACATGTACGGCATATGTCGGTTGGCTGATGGCGACCTGCGGTACAAAAATGGGGACAAAATGGCAAAGCCGCCGCCGGAGAAGAAGGTTTGGGGGGAGGGGGTTGTGCGGGTTACTGCTCCTGTTGAATAATGTTCTCTGAGGATGAAGCACTAAAGGGGATGGAAAGTAATATTGTTCTTGCGCCAATTCGTGGAAAGTGTCCTGGTGCTACTTTTTCTACTCCAGCTGTAGGTACTAGGGATCTGGAGCTGTCACGGCTAAATGGCATGAAAATGGATTTGACAGTTTCATGAGGAAAACCCAAATCGCATATCAAGTTATATCGGCTTCTTTTTCGTCGGGTGTCGACGACGATGCAATTTTGCGATGGGGAAACGGTTTCTTCAGGCAGGAAGAGGAAGCAAGTAGGTTTAAAACGATGCCGTAAGCGGCGCACATGGCCCATAAGGTAAATCCATGCTAAGTAAGAATCACCTTTGTTGCTAAAATATAAATTTTACAGCATGCCAAGTAAATTACCTGCACAACCGCGTCGGGTGTTGCCAGCACATCGCCGGGAGAAATGGACAGCTCCACAGCCGGCTGCACATCAGGTCGTGCCTGTGGGACCAAACAAACAATGGGAACGGTCTGTGCCTAGATTTCCGGTAAGGGCACACCTTGTATAAGCGTTAAGAATGACAGGGGCAGAGGTCATGTGTAACTCGCAACCGAAACGGCAACGTTACGGTTATCGCCGTCCGAGGGCCAGCTTGCCAACGATTTACCAGGACATGGGTGGCTGCAAAAGAGAGGACCTTGGAGCGGCGCGAGGAGGACAGGGAATCATGCCGCCGGCTCAGAGCCGGAACTGCCAGACGCGTATTAGCCAGCAAACAGCCCCGGCTAGCCAACGTGCGTTGCTGCATCATTAAAGGTGCTCCAGCACGCCTAGCGGAAGGACAGGAAGGCGCCTCGTGCCGCAAATTACCAGCGAGTTCAAACGCGGGAAAACACACAAGGGAAGCCACTACGATGTGTGTATGAAGCAACTTTTATGATGCAGTAGTCAGAGAGGAAGGAGGCATTATAATGTAAGTTTAATCACCATGTAGTTCTCGGTTCAGTTCTATGCCGCAATCACTGTTTCACATGTAGACATAATGGAGCAAAACGTAACGCATTAAACTTAAGTTCGACACATGTATACATGGAAAGCCTTACAATAACTGAGGATCGACAAATGGACGGTAGTACTGCGTCCAGGCCGTACATCAATGCATTCCGAGGTTTGGCAGTGAAAAATTCGAAATCTACTGCTTCCGTGTAATCGCAACCCATAATTTAAACATCGATAATTGCTAGTTGCTGATAACGCAGATGCCAGCCAATTAGAAGATTCTTCAAGTTTCGAGCCAGCTCACCAAAGGAGGAACTACGTAAGAAACCCCAACGGCTTCAGCCGAATATCCAATCTGATATGTCAAACACTTTCAGGCCTCGTAGCTTTACTGGGTTGCGACATGGGTGCTGCGGCCTTACATCACCCGTTAGCCCTTAAACTCCCCACCCCAGTACGCGCGTCTTGGGCTATGCGATTTTGCTAACTATAAGGGAACCCAACAGGACTGGTAGGAGGCTTCTGGCGGCCATCCGGTTATGGTATCGACTTCATTTGCATACAGTCAACTAATGACTGGACTGGGTATGCCAAATGACCATCGCAACCCCCTAGGTTGCGTCCAAACGGAAGGACACCTCCCAAGCAGCTCTTCTTGGATGTGTGACTGTGCTCACAAATTACAATAGGAAGGGCAACGGCGAACGTCCCATCTGCTGTACGGACGTGCTGAGACCCCAACTCCCCAACTCCGAGGCTACAGGTTTTTTGCGAATGTTTTGCAGGACCGGGGTGCTTTTTGTCTTTCTTGCGTTGACCTTAGAGAGTTCCGCATAGCTGACAACTTGTGCGTACTAAGGCCAACGGTTTCTAGCTGGACTACTTACACACCTGAAACAGATTTTAGTATTCCGTCAATCATAGGAGCAGTAGACTACACTGTGTGGTCAGCATTAAACTCTCGTGCGTCATTTGTCTGCAGAGTCAGTAGGATCGAAGGCAGAGCGAATGGAATGTGGTTACCTTTATGTGAAGAACCACTGCGTTTGCTGCCCGATAGCAACTTATAGGCTACAATAGAAGTTGGTGATTGTGAGGACATAAGGATCGCGCCTTTCAACTTGTAAGTCAGCTGCCATGGACGAAATCCTGCGCGCCCGCAAGCTCACGGAGGAAATCCTGGCACGCGCCGCTAGCATCAAGACCCATATGGCTCAGGTAAAACTGATCTGCCAAGTGCCCAGGACGAGCGACCGCCACCGATTGCATGCGCAAGTTTAATGCCCAAAGTGCACAAACCCTCCTTGGAAAAGTCCTGGCCCTTGCTGCAATCCCAGTCATCTGTTAAAATTTGATTCTCGCTCACCTCCCCATTTTCGCCTCCCACACCTCGTTAGAAGTTGTAATCCTTCCTCCTCTCTCCCACGCCCCTTCACCCCTTCCCCCTTCGGCCCTTCCCTTTTCCCCTTCGCGCCTTCCCCCTTCTCCCGCCCCATCGCAGGTCAGCCGCAGTATGGCCAACATGGCTCTCATTGAGGAGGAACATAAGGCCCGAGCGGCTAGGGAGGCGGCGGAAGCAACCAAACCACCTCTACGGCTCATGGTATCTGTCGTACACTGCGTAACACCGATGACAGCCTCCCCGCCCTCGCATGTGACCCCCCAGTCTATACACACCTCTCTCCCACGCAGCCTCGTGCAAACCTCTGCATTGCTGTTGTTGCTGCGTGCGTTAAAAAAGGAATCAGGATCTTTGTCGTTGTCTTTTTCTCATGTACCGATATCATCTCTCCCCCGGCCCTCAAGTTCGCTTTCAACCGAAACTCCCAACCAACACACCAACACATCAGCATGTCGTGCACTTCATTCATTCGTTCCGTCATTCCGTCAGTCAGTCCTTTCTATCCGGATCAGCAGCCTTTTACCTTTGTTAAAGTTCCCTGGAATTCCACACACCCCCAATCGCCTAAACAGGACCTCCCAGACGACCTACTACGGATGGTGGCAGCGGGGGGGGGGGTGGGGGCGGGGGCGGGAGGCAGCAGCATCGGGGGCGGTTCCGGAGCGGCGGCGTTGGCGGCCCTGGCTATGACCTGCCGCCGCTGGCGTCGCCTGGCGCTTGGCGAATCTGCGCTCTGGGAGGACATGTGCCGGCGGAGATGGGGCGTCGCGGAGTACGACCCAGGTGCCGTACTGGTCCTGGATCCACGACTTCTGCACCTGGCAGCGGGCTGGCCGAAGGCGGCGCTGGGTGCCGGCGGCGGCAGCGGCGCTGCCGCCCGGGGCATCCTCGCTAGCGTACGTGGCGCCGCTGGGGCCGCCGCTGCCGTCGCCGCTGCCGGCGGCCGTACTGGTCGACAGTCAGTCGGCGTACGGCAGGAAGTCGCAAGCCCGGGGCGGTCAGCGATAGCGGGGTTGCCCCGAACGCAGCGCCTGGCCGGCGTTGGCGGCGCCACCACCCCAGCCCCGAGCGCTTCTCCTCCCCGTCACATCCCCCCCCCGGCCCACGTCGCCT